GTTTCCTTTTATACGGCGGATGAAGGTCGCAAGGAAGGCCTTGTTCATGTGGGGGACATTCAAAAGGGACCAACGAGACGAGGACCCGGAGCTGTTGAAGAATTGCTGAAACGGGGGCAAAAAGTAAAAGTGAAACTTGTCGGAATTGCGGGATCGAAATTAACGCTTACGATGCGAGATGTTGATCAAAAAACGGGGCGAAGATTTGAGACCGAAACGGCACTCATCCGAGCAAACGGAATCTGCGTTTAATCCAACGAATCCATCCGCCCTCCGGAATCAAAGAAAGGATTTTGTCGGTAGCGTGACGGGAATACATCTTGAATCTCTTGAACGAAAATCAAGACAATTAGTGAAAAGAAAGAAGCATTTAACAGATCAGGAGTTATTCGAAAATCAACAATTGCAAGCAAGCGGCGTTTTAACGATACAAGAAAGTCTCGATTTTGATGAAGAACGGGGCGAATTAGCGGAGGCAGAACCAACAGTGGAAGAGGTGGAAGTGGAAGTGGATGATAGAGAACCTCAATTTTTGAAAGGACAGACAACCCGCACTGGAGCAATGTTATCGCCAATTCGCGTTGTTGCTAATCCCGATGGATCCTTAGCCCGTGCTGCGGCAACTGCATCCGCTCTCTCTAAGGAACGACGCGAAGCGAAAGACCAGCAAGAAAAATCATTGCTTGATTGGATTCCCAAAGACATGAATCGCCCGTGGGAGGATCCCAATCCCGAGCCAGGGGAGCGGACAATTGCTCAAGCCCTCCGTGGGATTGGACAAGGCAGTTACGAAATGCCTGAGTGGAAATCGATGTACATTGGCAAGAGTGTCTCTTATGGACAACGCTCAACGAAGTCTATCAAGGAGCAAAGGGAGTCGCTTCCAATATTCGTTCTTCGAAACCCTTTGCTTAAAGCGATTCGTGACAATCAAGTGCTCATTGTTATTGGTGAAACAGGTTCCGGCAAAACGACTCAAATGACGCAATATCTAGCAGGCAAGTCCAGTAGAGTATCAATTAAAAAGGAATAACTATAAATAGATGTTTGTATTAAGAACATCCCACGCCATTCTACTCATAGTCTCACAAAATAGATGAATTTGGGGAAGGTGTTGCGTCGTCTCTTCTTTGTTTTGGGGTTGTTGCTCATTGCCATCATGTTTCTTCTAATAGAGGCGGGTTACACATCAACTGGAGTGATTGGATGCACTCAACCGCGTCGTGTTGCTGCGATGTCTGTTTGCAAAACGTGTTGCTGAGGAATTTGGTTGTCGCTTGGGACAAGAGGTTGGATATTCAATTCGATTTGAAGATTGTACGACAAATGATACTCTTATAAAATACATGACGGATGGAATGCTTTTGAGGGAAGCACTCATTGATCCACTTTTAGCAAAATACGCTGTAGTGATGGTAAGCCGTGTGTTTCCTATTGTTAATTTGATTTGGTTGCACGTTCCTCACAGTTGGATGAAGCTCATGAAAGAACGATCTCTACAGACGTTCTCTTTGGTCTTCTAAAAGATACTTGCCGTAAACGACCAGAGTTTAAGTTAATCGTCACGTCAGCCACATTAGATGCTGAAAAGTTTTCTTCTTATTTCTTTAATGCCCATATTTTTACTATTCCTGGACGAACATTTCCCGTTGAGGTGAGATCCGTTTGGCTGCATATGAGATTCTTACAACAATCTAAACTCTGAATATCAAAGATCTCATGAACGTATCAAAAATACTTCATTATATATTTCATGTAAAATATCCAGGACTCAAAAATGACACACTTATTGATTATTGTTCTTCAGATTCTTTATAGTAAGGAGCCTGAAAGTGATTATATTGAAGCCTCTCTCATCACCGTGCTACAAATCCACCTTTGCGAACCACCTGGCGACATCTTGCTCTTTCTAACCGGACAAGAGGAAATTGATACTGCTTGTCAAACGTTACATGAACGCATGCAAAAACTCGAATCCATGCAACCTCCCCCTCTAATCATTCTTCCTGTTTATTCGGCGTTACCATCAGAAATGCAGACGATGATTTTCGATCCTGCTCCTGCTGGTTGCCGTAAATGTGTCGTTGCTACAAATATTGCGGAAGCGTCTCTCACTATCGATGGTGAGCTCATTGATGTCAGAGAGTGAATTTCCGAATTGCGTGGCAAGTTTTCTGACGTTTCTTTTTTCAGGAATCTATTTCGTTGTCGATCCTGGTTTTTCTAAAGTTAAAATGTACAATCCAAAGACAGGGGATGGATTCCCTTGTTGTTGTCCCAATATCCCAAGCAAATGCCCGACAACGCTCCGGTCGCGCGGGGCGTACGGGTCCTGGAAAATGTTTCAGATTATTTACCGAAGATGCGTATAAAAATGAAATGCTTCCCACGGCAGTTCCGGAACTTCAAAGAACGAATCTGGCGAATACTGTTCTTCTATTGAAGGCATTAGGAGTCAATGATCTCATTCATTTTGATTTCATGGATGCTCCCCCCGTTCAAGTGCGTCCCCAATTGCGTCTCTGATTTTCTAATCTCGTATTCAACTGTCCATAAGACTATACTTTTTGCATATTATTTGTACATGAGACTGTTTTCATGATTTCTTCTTCAGACTCTCATTAATGCAATGGAGCATCTCTATCAACTCGGTGCGTTGGATGAAGAAGGACTGATGACTCGATTGGGACGTAAAATGGCGGAATTCCCCATGGATCCTTCTTTATCTAAAATGTTGTTGACATCTGTTGATCTCAAATGTTCGGATGAAGCGATTACCATTGTTGCAATGCTTCAAGTGCAGAATGTATTCTATCGACCGAAAGACAAACAAGCCTTAGCGGATCAAAAAAAGGCTAAATTTCACCAGGCTGAGGGGAGACCATATAACTTATTTGGAAGTTTATAAAGCGTGGCAACGCAACAGATTTTCCAATCCTTGGTGTTACGAGAATTTTATTCAAGTAACTTTATAATTTCATGATCATCATGACGCGCGTTTTTTTTTTCAGGCAAGGGCGTTGAGAAGAGCACAAGATGTTAGGAAGCAACTGATATCAATTATGGATCGCTATAAAACTTGAAATCGTCTCTTGTGGCAAGGATTACGCCAAGGTTCAAATGTCCCTGTGTTCTGGGTTCTTCCGACATGCATGCAAGAAAGATCCTCAGGAAGGATACCGAACGCTTGTGGACAATACGCAGGTGTATCTGCATCCATCGGGGACGCTCTATACAAGGTGCGTTCTTCACACGTATGGACTGTGTTTAGGCGGTTTTTGCCGCTTGCTCGATTTCATTTTGTATGAATTCCTGTTGCAGAAATCCCGAATGGATTATTTATCATGAACTTGTTATGACAACAAAAGAGTACCTCCGGGATTGTTGTGTCATTGATCCCCAGTGGCTGATTCAACTCGCTCCACACCTCTTCAAGAAGGCTGATGAATCCAAGTTGTCAAAGAGAAAGCAAAGGGAGAAGATTGAGCCTCTGTTTAATCGCTTTGAAGAACCGAATTCTTGGCGACTTTCGCGAAGAAGGATCTGATTGTTTGGAATGCATCATTCCTTCCCTTGGTTAATTTGTCGTATTGCGTAGTCGTCTGTAGATGAATGGTGGGGGTGAACTCTTCTCCCTTGCGATCTGATTTGTCTCTTGAATGCGCTATTCGCTTTGAAGCTTTAAAGTTTACGAAAAAAAATACTATGTGCATTTTATCACGAAGAGAAAAAGAAATTAGAATTTTAAATGCATTAGAATTTTAAATGCATTTATCAAAAGTTGGAAGAAAATTGACAAAAACTATGGCAGTATAGCAAAAACAGATTATATATGACGCTAGGTGAAAAATATATCCCTTACGCCGTTGCGCAAACATCAAAATGATAGACCTTGTTGCGAGATTGATTCCACTGGGAATACGGCAGTATCCACCACCGTTGGCTGATCACCTTAAAGCATCCGTAAGGATTTCTTCTTCCTGGTTATCTGAATTTGCGTCGGCTGCAACAATCACTATCCGATGATCACATTCTGGAGATGCAGTTAATGAATCAAAGTAGTGCTGATTGACTTCCAGGAAACTGAGCGGGAGCGTTGCATTGAAGCTTCCGTGGGATAAAGGAATGGATGTTCTAATCGGAGCAGTTTGATAGAAATCTGGGTGGAACAAAGTTGTTTGAGGCAATGGACGTTCTGGGGATGAGCAAAGAGAGTCAAGGCTTGGTCGTCGAGAACCAGCAGTAGTTGAGAGATCTGCACTTTTGGAGAAGCTTGCTGGACTTCTTGGAGTACTGCAGCAGGTCACATTGGTTGTTTGTTCTAAATGGCAATCCTCTGGAGTCCGATAAATATACTTTTTTTTTGAACCAACGAACAAAGCGCACGCTATAAATGCAAGACCAAAGAAAGAAACATTTCAATCCGAAAACCCGGACGATCACCGTAGCTGTTACAGCGCCAAACAAAAAGATTGTTATTTGTGGGAGAATGGAGTGGAAAGCCTTCTGCTGAATAGGAAGCACCGGCTCTTGATAAACTTCTGTGTTAATTTCGGCTTGGGAATCCTTCGTTGATGTCGATTTTCTGGTCTGAAAGATTTGTTCCCGCAATTTGGACAATAGACCGTCATCTTGTTGATCGTCTTCTTCATCAAATTGCAGACCAAATTCTGTTTCAGCTGCAATAAAATCAAATTGATGTTGTGGATAAATAGACACTTGCTTCGTCACATACTGAGCGCTAGGAACGGACCGACTTACGTGAATTTGAAGAAATCGGGCTAACAAACTTGAAGACTGATTCAAGTTCTGAAATCCGAAAAAGAATTGAGGAAACATTTTAGTGTCATACCCATCTGTAAATCAAAACAATCCCTTCCAGTTTGAAAATCTGGTGCCATTAATTCACAACCAGCGTGGAATGGCTCTGTCCCATTTAAGGTGTCCCAACCGATCATAGGAATAGGTTTGTCCCAACCATCGCGTCTCCCATCAACGCATCGAGCGACAAAAGGAGGATCATCTGAAAAACAGTCCGATTTCTTGAGAATTCTTGTTTACTCGTACTGTCTAGAAAGTCCGTGTTGGCACCTTGTGGCAGGAAAACGCAGTAGCGACATTGTCCAACTCCTATGCAATTTTCACAATTAGCCGAATATTCATTGCAACCATCGTGCTGGAAATTGCTGCTGACAATTTTAGAAAAACGAGCGATATCAGATATTGCAGAAGCGTGATGATGAGGGTAAGCCGCTGAGATGGAAAATAGAGACGTTAGCATCAAAGGGCGCAACTGCATTGAACTATGAGGTGAGACGCAGCAAAGGAAGAATATACCGTTTACAAAATACTAAAGATTAATGGGTTCGAAGATAAAATGAAAGTGTGAGAAATAGAAGAAGAATAGCTTTTATACAAAATAGAATCAAGCAATAAATTCAAATGTTCTGCGCGCCTGGACAAACCTTCGTTAAGATTCTCCGCTTTGAATCACTTTTTAGGTGAACCCCATCAGTTTGAGTTGAAGCACGCACTTCCAGCAAAGCAATTTTTAATTTCCGCATCTAGCAACAAATTTCTAAACTAGTGGAGTTAAAAGATAGAAAACTTGAAAAGAAGCACCGAACGAAAGATGAATCAAATTGCTAAAAGAGAACTTCTTTGTCTTATCTGCAATACTATAAAATGAAGAGCTTGAAAGATGGAAATTAGTAAAGAGACGTAAGGAATCAATCTATCAAGCCTAGTGCCGTTTTGTTAGTTTTCCAGAATGACTCGATCGTGACGCACTCGCCTCAGCTGTTGGAGATGCTTCTTCTTTTCGTTCGGTTTCTCTTGGACCGTCAAGACGCCTCCTACATTCAGCTTCGTATTCAGGATCAAGTGGTGATTGCTCAGGAAGTTGCCAAGGATTTCCAAAAAGCCAAACAAAAAGAGAAAAAGCGAAGTGAATGAACAACAGAGCAACAAGCCAAACGGCTGCAGAAGCAATTAGAGCTGCAGCTCCAGGATGGCTATCGACAAATGCATGAATTTGAGGATGGCTGACGATAAATCTTTCCACCCATCCTGCAAATCCAAGGACACATTTTCCGATCCATGTGTTTCGTAAGCCTGGAATTTCTAAGCGAGATAAAGCAGCAAACGAGGCAATTTGAGCTGCCATCTTCTAAACAGGACCGAATCAAGTGTGTGACGAGGCGAATGGGTTCGAAAGTGGGGGAGTTTGATGTTCAGATTAAAAAATAGAAAAGTGTCCCAGGTACGGACAACTAGTTAATAAAACGTGAAGTTAGGGTCAACTCTAACATGCCCCTGTGAGGCAAACTTCACGGATCTGACGGACAGATAGAAAGCGCCGATCGAAGAATTTCAAATTGTTGACGGGGGAAGCGCTTTTGTCAAGATGTCGGCGATATTATTCTCTGTTGAGACTTTTTCCAACGTGAGATGTCTTTCCATAACCATTTGGCGGATGAAATGGTGTCGCAAATGGATACGCTTCAGTCGGGAGAAGTCGGTGGGGTTGTTTGCAGCGCGCAAGGCGGATTGCGCATCAACTCTGAGCAGCCGCAGCTGTTCTAAAATTTGTACAATCCATCTGCCTTCGCGGCGACATATTCAGCTTCAGCCGATGAAAGGGCTACTTCTTTTTGTTTTGAAGATTTCCACGAGATGCATCCACCCCCTAAAAAGAAGCAGTAGCCCGACGTTGAGACTTGCAAGGCGGATCGCCCAGTGAAGCATCACAATATCCAACAGGAGCTGAGAGTGGAGTTGCTGACTCTGATGAATAAAGAATACCATGATGGATGGTGGATTTCAAATATTTGAGAATGTGTATTGCTGTATTCCAATGTGACGAGTTGAAGACGTTGCAGAACTGCGCCATTCGTATAGTGGAATAGCCAATGTCTGGTCGCGAACAGTTGTAAAGGAAAATGAGGGAACCGATGAGTGAGCGATATGGCTGATCTGTTGCGGAGGCTGAGGAGTCGACTAGAGCTCCGACATTGGGATAGCGGCAGGATTTACATCCTGGAAACCGAATTTGAAAAGCATTCGATTGATGTATGAACCTTGAGATAGATGCAACTTTCCTAGATTCTGTCGTAGGAGATGTCAAGGCCGATGAAACGTTTGGCGGGTCCGAGATTGGTGATGTTGAAACGGTCCGACAGTGCTGTGGCAAACTCCGTGATCAGTGTTAAGGTTGTTGCGGACACGAGCAGGTCATCCACATAAAGTACGAGAAGGATTTGCTTGTCCTGATTGTGGTACAAACTGGGATCCAAGTCAGATTGACAGAAGCCAATACCATGGAGAAATTTTGACAGAGTCTTGTAATCGCGGACTTTGGTGCAAACCATAGATGGCTTTTTGGAGTTTCCAGACGTGTGTTGGAAATTGTGAATCAACAAAACCGGGTGCTTGCGTGGTGTAGATGTCCTCATTTTTATCGAGATCTGCATTGAGAAACGATGTGGTTCCGTAGCTGACAACTGATTGCAAGAAACAGTCGTGTGGTGGTGTAGCGGACAACTGACGCAAATGTCTGGTCGTAATCCAGACCGGCAATTTGTGTGAAGCCTTGTGCGCAAAGACGTGACTTGTTTCGGACAACGTCGCCTTGTTGATTCAGCTTGTTCTTGAACACCCAAATCAGTTTGATGGGTTTGCGGTTTTCAACTGGAGGAATAAGGGAGAATACTCGATTGGATTCCATCGACTGAAATTCGTCTTTGGCGGATTTTCTCCAATGAGGATCCTTTAATGCTTCAGCAATGTTGGCTGGTTCAAAATTCGCTAAAAGAGAGATGGCATCATTAGCGTTCAGCATTTGCAGGTAATCTTAGCGTTTCAGATTACGTAAGGAGCGACTAAGTTGTACAGATGGCTTGTCTGGCGCAATGGTGTTCATTTTTGGGGGCTGAGCAGTTGGTAGTGGCTGTGCACTTTGTTGTGCATATGGAGGAGGCTGTGCACTTTGTTGTGCAGTTGGAACGAGTGGGTGCAGTGTCGTTGTAGTAGGAATTTCGGTGGACGGAAACAGATCGTTCCAGGAGGAGAACGGAAAAGCTGGTGAGACATCCCGCAGTTGTTCTGTGAACAAGATAGAACCCGGCGTGTTCTCATCAAAGACAACGTCACGAATTTCCACAATTTGATTTCGGACAGAATCAAAGCAGATGAAGATGGAAGCTGTTAGAGTGTAGCCCAAAAATACACCTTTGTTTGCACGAGGTGCGAGCTTGTCATGACTGTTGTTTTTGATATATACTAAACAACCCCATGTCTTCATGGTAATTCGGATTTTGTTGCAGCAACTTTTTGATGGGAGATTTTGGATAGTGGCCGGTGTGTGTTGGGAGTCGATTGCGAATGTAGGCTGCTGTTCGGATTGCGAATGGCCAAAACCGTCTTGGAATTCCGGACCAGATCATCAATGATCTAGCGATTTGAACTATTGCATAGCTCTTTCTGCCCTACCATTGCTGGGAGAATTCCTTCGGCTTTCAGGAAGGTCACGAGCTTTTCGTTGACGAATTCGGTTCCACGATCTGATTTGAGAAGCAGTGGCGTCCGATTTGTCCAATTTGTCCAAATTTTGATAACCTCCATGACTGAGGCGGCAGCTTCGAACTTGTGCGCAAGAGGGACGGCTGTGCAAAACCTTGTCCATTCATCCACAACTACCAGAACGTACTTTTCATTTTCAATTCCTGCTGTGATTGTCGGGCCCCAAAGGTCAACACAGAGTACGTCATTCGGTTGAATTGTGTTTTCTGAAATGTGGAAGAGCTTTCATCTTTGACAGAATGCAGGTAGAGCAAGGACTTGTCAAAGTGGGCAGCTGAAGAACTTTGAGATCGTTGTTGTTCATGTGGCCAAGTCGATGGTGGACTGTTGTGGCAGACAGTTTGTGAAGTGTGTGATGTGCGTGCACGGCAGCTCAGAGCTATCGAACTGCAAACGATATAAGCCCTGAGGATCCTTAAGAGTAGTCAATGTGACATACTTGCTACCTTTAGGATAAATCACGCATTCATTGTTTTGAAAAACAACGCGGGCTCCATTAGCCGTGAGTTGCGAGATTGAGAGCAGATTTTCAGTTAATTCTTTGCAATAAAGAACATCTGAAAATGAGAAGGAATTATCTCCTTGTGCAGCAGTGACATTTCCGCGAGAAGTCACTGGAAGAGAGCAGCCCGATCCAACGATCAGGGAAGAGTTAGTGCTTACTGAATCACTGAGCAAGGCACTGTCATTGACTACAGAATGATTATTTCCCGAGTCGGCAACAAAGTTGAATCGAGAAAAATCATTAGTTGAAAGAAAAGCACAATTTTCATTCAAATCGTCACCGGCAGCAGATGAGAAATCATCTGGATAGTAACCACAGGAGGAGGCAGCTGATTCGTCGTCGGAATCAGGAGTGAAAGAAGCCAGCATCGCAAAGTTTGTGGTTGGTTGGTGGTGAGGCTGGTCTGGGAGGACGGTGGCTTGAAGGGCTGCAAGCCTTCGGCGGCATTCGGAGATGTCATGGAATTTCAGATTGCAGTATGTGCAAAATTTGACATCCCGGGCTTTTGCATTTTTCTTTTGGTTTGGTTGGCTTTGTTTTTGCTGAGTTTTCTTTGGACGTTGATAATTGATTGTGGCGGGAATTGAGCACGTTCACGAGGATCTGATCTGGAAAAGAGGCCAACTGTCCTGGAAGATTGAAGTGGTGCTTTCGACAAATCCTTTTCGTAGCACTGTACGGTGTCCACAATGATTTTGAAGTTGATATTTTGTTGACTTCATAGAGACTGGTGGATTACTGGGAGTCGGAAGCGGATTGACCGCAAAAAGCAGTGAGTTAAAATGTCTTTCTCTAATGTGAGCCAATCACTGTGTAGTTGACCCCAGATCTCGCGCGCATGGTTTGCATGCGCGGTGAACGACATTCCCGCCAGTGGAGATCGATCAAAGCGTCCAGGAGGGTGAATCAGTATCTAGTAACATTTTCATATTTATTGATCAATAGCACTCATATGCTGTTGCGCATTCATCCAGATAGACGGAGATACTATCACTAACGGTCAACTTTAGCATTCCCTTTGCTCGTTCAGCCCGATCTTCAGAAAACCATGGAGGAGACGTTGCTCCATCCGAAAAGTGCGAAGTATCGTTATCGAGATACTTGGTCATCACGTGAGCCTCGAATAAAGCTCTTAATGCCCTTTTGTAAGAATTGTCGTCAGATAATTTAACGAAAGACGCGGGAATTAACGCACCGCCGGACATTTCTGAAGAAACTGATGCGGAACACGAAGCTACTCGAAGCGATGGAGTGGCAGAACTTCTAGAAGTTGAGGAGGATGAGGAAGCAGATCGCTGGAAAGCTGGAGTAGTGTGTTGTTGTTCACTATCAAAGTACAGATTACTTGGAAGTGGTTGATCTTCTGGAATGCTGGTTGTGACAAATGGAACTCGGAAACTTGAACTCCGTTGTTGAATTTCTGTTTAGATTCCGTTTGATCCAGAAAAGAACTGATGAACACGTTGAGGAGGGACTGGTGAGTCTGGCGGCAGTCCTTGTAGTCTTTTTGACTTCCATAAAACGTGGCTGATTCGCTGTCTTTTTTATGGCGCTGCTACCATGTGACGAGGCGAATGGGTTCGAAAGTTCAGATTAAAAATAGAAAAGTGTCCCAGGTACGGATAGTTAATAAGGGCTCTAACAAAGTGGCACAGCTTGCCATATTTGTAGCATCCGAAGTATTTCTCAGAAGAAATGGATTGTTTGGAAACGGATCAACGTGTTTAGCGTTCATAAACCCCATAGAGAATGAGAACCCAGGTCTATATATCTACAGTATTTCTCATAATGAGACAATTGTATGAACTAAAAAAACGATTTAAGGAGATTGATGCCGGACCTGCACAACCCGAATAATTAAAATCTGGAACGACTGAAAAATATTGTTACTTCGACGAAACTCTCAAGTAATTGACAACTATTGTGTCCTACAACGTTGTTGGCTGGTTACACAACTTTGCCAGCAGAACCTGCATTTTTGTCGGTTGACCCTGCAACGTTGCCAGCTGCAAGTTTGTCAGCTGAATCTGCAACTTTGTCGGCTAACCCTGCAACTTTGTCAGCTGGGGTCGATTTCACACTTCCATTTCCTGCAGCTTGGTCAGTTTTGCTGGGGGGCTTCTGGCGGCAGTAATATCCCAATGTGACGCACATTTCACACAAATTTTGTAGGTGAGGTAGACGAGTTTTCGTCTCCTGTTGTGCCTCCTCTGTGCCTTCCTGGTGGGTTTCCTCTGTATCTTCACAATTCGTTTCTTTTATGACAACAGTTCCTTCCACACCTTCTTTACCTTCCGTTCCTTGTTGATCAGAACTCAGAGGCTCCGTTTGCTCCTCCTTAGGTGGGAGACGCTTGCGATGATAGAGAAGCCGCTACAACAAATACGTTTCATGATCCCATGAGCCTCTTCAACTTACTTGTATTGTGGCCAAAAGCATCGCACCGCACATTTTGCAGCCTTGTTTTTTATCCTTCCACGAGTTCACACTACTCCACTCATGGCTGCATTCATCACACTTGTATCGCCCAAACACTCGATGCCCCAAGGGAACTTCCCGGGGTGGACGTGCCCCTTTCCCAGATTTTTGTGTTGGAACAGCAGCTTTATCACCTTCAGCAGAGTCCTTCTTTTCTGGTGCATCCGCACCCTCCACTTGCTGTTTTTTGGGGATACGTCGACGTCGTGGTGATCGCTTTTTAGGTTTGGAACCAGCAGGACCAGGCGTCGCATCAGACGGCACGGGCTTTTCAATTAGGCCACCACTTTCAGTCTTCGGCTTCACTGATTTCTTCGGAGGGCGTTTCCGCCGTTTTTCTGGCGTTGTTGCGGTATGGAGGATTGGAGGATCGATTGCAGCTTGAGCTGCTTCTTGCGGAGAGGTCCCTTCAGTCATCGAATGTATAAGTTGACTATAGAAAACGGAATATGCAATCAATCTGAAGTATGTATTCCATGCGCAAGCTGTCCCAATCGATACCTGACATGCAGTAGGCGAGAAGGACTGCTCTTGTCAACTCATATGGGGAAGAAGGTGAAGACGGGCAAGGGCCGGCTGGACAAATACTACCACCTTGCGAAGGAACAAGGATATCGCGCGCGTTCTGCATTCAAGCTCATCCAATTGACGCAAAAGAATGATATTTTTTCGGGGTGTCGTTCGTTGCTCGATCTCTGTGCCGCCCCGGGAGGATGGCTGCAAGTCGCTCAGAAAAACATGCCGCTCGCGTCCACAATTGTGGGGGTGGATCTCGCGCCAATTAAACCCATTCGAAACGTAACAACACTTCAGGCTGACATCACAACGCAACGATGTCGAAATCTCTTGAAGCAACAGATTCCTGTTGGAACTTGCGATGTTGTGCTACACGATGGAGCTCCAAATGTTGGTGCTTCATGGGTGCATGATGCATATGGTCAGAATGAATTGGTGCTTCATGCAACAAAATTGGCTTGCGAGTTCTTAAGGACGGGAGGCACTTACATCACGAAGGTGTTCAGGTAAGATTTCAAGCTGATTCTTATTTTTACTGATTTTATTGCTTTTTTCTAGATCTCAAGATTACGCTTCACTCCTTTGGGTTTTTCAACAGCTTTTCGATCGTTGCACGGCAACAAAACCTCCATCTTCGCGTAACGTTTCTGCTGAAATTTTTGTAATTTGCCAAGGATTTAAGAACCCCCAGAAAATTGACCCAAAGTTCTTTGACGCCAAGTTTGTTTTTATCAACACCCAGCAGCAAGCCCAAGAAGAGACGCCGGCAGAAGGAGGGGGCGAGAACAAGCGTGGTCTATCCGAACTTGTGAAAGCAATGATGAAGAAGAATCGTGGTGGCTACAGCGCTGGAGATGAATATCGTGTTTCTAGCGCTTCCAAATTTTTCCAACAAAAGAATCAAACTCCAGCCGAATTCCTCACATCGCATCATAAGATAACTTTTCCAGCCGATGATTTACTGGCACAACGCATCCGTAGCGATGCGTCTACAAACGCGGATATTCTACAATACTGCGAAGATCTCAAGGTAAGACTAGTGCAATAGATATGCCACGATAAGCCTCTCGGTGTGAACAATTGGGACCAACTTACAACATGAGATGTCCTTGTTGTAGGTTCTGGGTAAACGCGAGTATTCAATTTTGATCAAGTGGAGGTTCAAATTGTTGAAGAAATGGGCGGATGAGACCGCGGACACCAAAGACGATCAAAAGGAAAAGAATGAGGAAGTTGATAGTGAAACGGAACGTGTTGCATGGGAGCGGGTAAGGCTTGAATTTATCCAAAATGTTGCGCAAAAAATCTTGAATTTCTAGGAGTTGGTTGAATTGAGTGAAAAGATGAAGAAAAACGAATTAAATGAAAAACGAAAGTTGCGCGAAAAGCTAAAAAAACTAAAACTTCAACGTCAATTGGGAGGTTTTGATGCCGAAGAATACGATCCTGAATTATTTAATCTGAAAGGCAAAGACGCTCTAGAGGAGGAAGATGAGGTGAGTCCAACCAACACTGTGGGGATGAGAGTTACATTGCTATTGCAGATGTTGGAGAAATCAGGATTGTTGGAGCGCATTGCAGAAATGAGTGAAGGGGGCGACGTCGAATCAGAAGCAGAAAACGAGTTCAGCGATTCAGATCAAAGTGAAGAAGATGAAGAAGAAAAGTTGGATGCAACTTCACGCTTGGCTATTGATTTAGATATTGCAGCCGAATTAGAAAAAAAGAGGAAGGGCGACTCTGCACAGAAAAGAGAATTAAAACGAAAGAAAGAAACAAGAAGACAGCAAGTGTTTTCTGAATGGAGCAAGTAAGCCCAACGATGTAGATAGGGAGGCGTGCCCTAGATGCACAACTCGTAGATGCACAATTCACTAGCCCTTAAAACGACCCTACATGACTGATGTAGATAGAGAGGCGTGAATGAACTAAACAATCTCGTTGGTTCGAGTGATGGCGGAATGCTCAATTGAATCTTCTATCAGGGAAATTGATACGTTTGCCGGAAAGCTTGCAGAGGAAAATTTAGATTTGAAAGCACAGAAGGTTTTGGAAGAGCAAGATTCTTCCGATGCTGAGAGTATCCAAGACGCGGTGGAATATAAACTGATGGATGACGAAGATATAGTAGATGATGACGAAAAAGATATAGTAGATGGTGACGATGAGGGAGCTGATGATGATGATGATAATGATGATGATGATGATGATGATGACGACGATGAGGGAAGTGATGTATTGAAAGCAGCTGCATCAAACAAGAAAGGGTCATCAACGAAATCGATAGCTGATGTGAAGGCACAAGAGGTGTTGAACAAGTATCGAACAGCCCGGTGGTTTGATCAAGAGATGTTCAAAGATGTTGGAGTGACTTTGGAAGATTTAGAAAGGGAGGATCGATTGTGTCATCAAGGAAATAAAACTCTTGTTTCTGATGATGAAGACATGAAAGAAGATAAACAACATGCTGATGGAAGTGTCATCAATGAAATTAGTGACAGTGAATTGCCTCAGATTCCACTGACAGAAAAGCAAAAAAGAAGAGTATGTTGAGTATAGACGCATTTAGTGTGATGATCGATATTGAGTACCGTTGTCATATGTACATGTATTGATGTGTATTAATAGGAAAAGCGGAAACGGGAGCAAGAGAAGAAAGATGCGCGTGATGCTCGTAAGAAAGCAAAACGATCAAAAGTTGGTCCACTCGGAGTCCCAGTTGATAATGAGGATGGGAAAGATCTTGGATTTGAGGAAGTTCCGATAAACTATTCCGTCGTGACGCCAACATTTGGAGATCCGAGTGATGATGACGAAGAACAAGTTGATAAACCGAAAACCGCCGATGAATTGGCTGAAGTAAGAAATGATTGATTATTCCCAAATTGCTTTGGAATGGATTGTTGTTATTCTTAATGAATATTTGAAACCTTCCCATCTCAATTTTCTTCCAAAAGAATATTAATAACAAAATATGTCCCTGATGAACAAAATGTGTTTTTTATGATTTCAGGTTCAAGCTATTGGTAGTTTGTTAGTGAAACGGAAGACTCGAATGGATTTGATTGATGGCGCTTATAATCGATATGCATTTAATGACGATGAAGGAATTCCTGAATGGTTTGTTGAGGATGAAGAACAATTCAACAAACCCGAATTACCAGTAACGAAAGAATTGGTGAAACAGTACAGAGCAAAAATGAAAGAAATATCGGAGCGACCAATCAGAAAAGTGTTGGAGGCTGCAGGAAGGAAAAGAATGCGATTAAAGAAAAGATTAGAAAAAGTCAAGAAGCAGGCAGAGAGGTAAGCTTAGCCGGATTTTGATCAGTTCATTTTGTCTTCTTTCAAAGCATCGCGGAGTCTTCCGAACATACTGAGCTCTCAAAAACAAAGTCCATACGCAAGTTGATCAATAAAGCAAGACGCGAAGATAAAAAGGAGAAAACTTACATCGTTTCTAGGAAACAGGGAGGTGGGAAAGTCAGCGGGAAACAGAAAGGGGGACAAGTGAAGGTGGTGGATCGGCGACTAAAATCTGATAAAAGAGGACTTAGAAATGCAGAACGGCGAAATAAAAAGAAGAGATAGATTATTTGTTTTGTTTTTCATGCGTCTGTTTCTCTTTGAGAGGAGGTCATCTGGAACGTTTAGCCGATGGTCATCTCGAAGTTACAGAGAGACTTTCCAAATATGTTCGAAGCCCATCACGTTGAATCTCTTCAGTTCAATTCAAGCCAGACTATCTCAATGCTTTGAACTAGATATTGAAACGCATCACCTCCTTTTGCTACCAGACACCGTCAACGCAGAAATGTACCCAATCTTCATTCTCATCAATCCGGTGAATAGGAGCAACGAAACAGAGGGATCAATTGATGCATTGACAGCCTGTTGTTGTGCAAACCCCTGTATTGCAACAATCACTCCGCAACTTTTAACGACAAAACGGATGACAAATTGAATGTAAACTCTGTAGTGGACATCCATGACATTAAAACTCCAACAATCAGAAGTTTGCTGGAGTTATATTTGATCTCCATGCTGCAGAATCCATGCGGTTGTCATTAGTCTTTGCAAAGCTTCTATACGAAAAATCCGTGTTTTCAGAACAACATGAAAAAGAAGAAAAATCATTGATGGAGATGAAAGCCTGGCTGTCGATGAGATTGTTAAACCTCTCGTAAGGATATGAGGATCTCCACAACTTATTTCTGCTCATGTGCCTCGTGGAGCTTCTGCCAGGCTACACTGCCATCAAGAAGGAAGAACATTTTTTCTTCCCTCAATCAGACGACGATTTTATCGAAAACTTTCATTATTTTTTCCGATGTTCCTCCCAAGTTAAAGCACTCGAACTTCGTTGACTGATCGACTTCCAATCAAATCTGCTGGGGCGGGATCAACTATGAAGACGAGCGACCATCCGACTTGGTTGCTTTGAATGGCTCCGAGGACGAAAAAGGAAAAAAACAATCAAATCCCTGGACCAGGATCGTTGTATCCATATCCTTTTTCCTGTTTACAGCACATGTTATGTCCCAATGACATGTTTTTCTGGATAATAAACACCCCACTCTCTCTGACCACGTGACTGATCCGCCTGCCATTCATAAGAGCAATCAAAGTGAAAAAGCTGTTTGTATTTCTTTCGGATAATTATTCCTGTCGACAACGAGGAGATCGTTTCAATGGTTTTGGTCGAACTGGAGCATCTGTGTTCGAACAGCCAATTTCCCGATGGTCTTCCTTCACCTTCTGTTATGGAAGGCATTCAATGAATAGTCGTAGCGATCAATTTTTCAAGTCCTTGCTTCCATTCCGGAGAAGTTGTCCGCCCGTTCATGAAGTCAATGCTGACGAAGATCTCCGAAATGTGGAGATTCGCCCGCCCAGCTGTATTCTTCCGCCGAACGCTTCTCCGTCCAACTATCATGGAGTCCCCCTAAAACCGTATGGTCAGATTTGGTGGGTGTACAGTATCCCTAACATTGCGAGACTAAAAGCACTCGCCAAGCGGAAGGATTTCACAATTCTCGAACACGGACCCACATAGAGGCACGCCACAGGCATTCTTAGAACATTGGACAGAATCCTGATCAAAGAAGACGAAAAACAACCCGAAGCAGGATTGGACCGAATTATCTGACAATGCGATGCTAGCAATCAGAAAAGAGGAAAAGAATGAGTATCAACTGCATCGGCGCCAACACTACAAACAGAAACCACTAGGTGGGCACAAGTTGCAAGCAAAATCAGCAAGAGAAAAATGAACAAGCATCAAACCAAATGCAGCATCAGTGAAGTATGGCGAACCCGCAGAGAGGCAAAACGAGAAGATGCATACCTGATGGTGGATGACAACAACAAACCAATTCCAAAGCATCTTCAGAGGATAACAAAAGAACTCAAAGAAAAGAGCTCAAAGCAATATGGCAACAGCAGGACACTACCACAAAAAACTACAAAGCAAACAACAGCGAGAAAAGTACATCTGCCCCGGACACAGAAGAAGCAAAAGCAGTAATAGAGGCATTGAAAGCAGGCAAGTCAAGAGGAGCAGACGGCGTGAGAGTAGACCAACTGAAAAGCATGCAGGAAGAAGAACTGAGCGAGTTTACCCGAATAATCCAAGCAGATTGGGAAGCACAAGAAGTAGAGAAAGAGTGGATTCAGCTGACAACAACTGCCTTACCCAAAGCAAAGGTCGTTACAGCACTCCAGTTCCGGCCCAACTCGACAACAAGGTTTCTTTCAACGAAACTCATAATTGCCGGCATCTCATGACGTGTGCAGACCTATGGATAGCTGCTACTGAATTCGATTCACGACACCCTTCAATCAACTTTTTTCCTAGCCGAAACACATATCGGCTTCCCGGGAACAACTTCAAAGCAACAACGCTGACAAGCTCTTTGTGAGACTCCACTCATTCTCAAGCAATGGCTTCTGATGACTTCATAGACCACCCCCGTCGGAACAATAACTCACACAATTGCTCCTGCTCGATCTGACGGGCCGCCACATCCACCCACTTTTCCAACTCTTCTTCCGTTTCCGTTGAAAACGTCAATCGAGATAAAATTTTGGAAGACTGTTGACAGCGATGGAAAATCTGTGCCATGACTCTAGTGGACGATCACGCCATCTAGCTCCCCTACGCCTTCATGCTGGTGCATTTCTGTGTTAGGGAATTCTTTCTGAAGTGAATTGAATCCCCATATTATGTCTTTTTTGATGCTGTCTGTGGTGTCAAGTCGTTTCTGGCTAAATGTTGCCCTGGCTGTTGGGAAGTTGGCTATGGTAGTCATTTCTCATTTGCCTCTCTTTTTCACACAACTACTGGTATGAAGTTGTTGACTGTCACAGATCGCTTAGCGGTTTTGGGATCGTCCGACTGGCTCCATTCTGATATTTCATCGGTTGGAACCGTCAAGTCTGCAATTCTTCATAGAGAGTGGGGTGCGCACTTTGGCGAATTCTTCCAGGATCTCACGGATTGGTAGCCCGCTGTATGAGAGGACGTTTGTTATCATGCTGCATACGAGCAATTGGTTATCGACGCCAACCGTCAAGTGAATCACCAGTAAGGGATCATTGAGCACTCCCTGCACCCACATTGTCTCATTCACCAAACTGGATCGGTGACGCAAGTGGAACGACTTTAACGTGGCGGTGTGTCAGCTATCGTCTGTTGGTAGTGGAGTGGCTACAACATCAGCCTGAGTTGCTGATGTTTGTCTCTTCTAACTGCCGACGTCAAAACAAGGAAGCATTAGACCCTAAAACGGAAGGTGGCATCCCGATGACGTCAGCCAGTGAGCGTGGCAGAGGGGGGTGGTGTTCTCTCATCTTCAATGTGTCAGTGGCCATGGTAACATGAAGGCTCCATTTCACGTCACAATTAAGTGCTGGCGGTATTTTTGGCACAATTATGAAAAATTCACAGGTTCAATTGGCTTGCGTGCCAATGCTCAGTGCATGCACTCATTTCGTTCGCATTCGTACCAAAATGAGGCTGCAAGGAAAATGGAATCTCACGTCTGTGAAGAAGAACGGGGTAGAGCTTCTGGGTGATAATGCTCCTTTACCGGTTATGGCAAGCCGAACGTCATTTGGTTTTCGGTGTGATCTGAAGATATTGAATCCGTGCTCGTTCGACATCGTGCGGGGTCCTGATGGAAAATTCACATTATGTCGTGGATCTATTACGGTTGTTAATAAGAGTCCGGCTGAGTTGATGGACATGGAGGACACTGTGATTGGAGAATTTAGAAAGGAACTGACAATTACAGCCGAAGAACAATCTTTTCAAGCCAGCGCCGAGAAGATCGTCGCAACATTCAAGCGTCCAAGTTATGGATCTCCTGAAAGCTCTGGATCTCCTACAAGTTCTGGATCTCCTAAAAGCTCTGGATCTCCTAAAAGCTCTGGATCTCCTAAAAGCTCTGGATCTCCTAAAAGCTCTGGATCTAAGAGCTCTCGATCTCATAAAAGCTCTCGATCTCCTAAAAGCTCTCGATCTATACATTCGAATTTTTACTAATTTTCTAGTGAACTGATTTAATTGTATCCTCGCACTCAATAAACGGATGTCTAGAAGGCATAGAGAACGAGGCTGGTGCATTTCTGTGTGAGGGAATTCTTTATGAAGGTGAATGGAATCCCCATATTATGTCTTTTTTGATGCTGTCTGTGGTGTCAAGTCGTTTCTGGCTAAATGTTGCCCTGGCTGTTGGGAAGTTGGCTATGGCAGTCATTTCTCATTTGCCTCTCTTTTTTATCCCTTCGATGACGTCAAAGAGCGAGGTAGAAGAAGCTGTTTCTCTCTTTGTGTAGAAATTTCTGGAACCACTTGACGGAGTGATTTGAGTGGCTGCTTCCTCGATTCATCAATCGTTCCATCTTCGTCGTAACATTTCAGAAAGTCCCCAAAATATGTTTCTTAATCGATCTCCTTCCATCTTTGGGTTTTGGGCTTGATTCATATTTTGGCAGAACACATCTCGTCAAAATCTTGATCCCGCACCAGTCGAAGTATAACATCACGTCAAACACCACTTGAATCACAAGCGAGCGATCAATGCATCAGTTCATCAATCTAACATGAATCCTGCATTGATATTTCTCCCTATCGTCAATAGCAGTACAGAATTCACTTTTTAGAGTCTATTTCGTGCCTCACGGAATATTCAAACTAATATGCTTCACAATTACATCCACCAGCGCATATGGCGCCTTATCAATGCATTTCTTGAGCGTGCATAGAATGCACTTGGCAGAATTGGTGTCCTGAAACGCCACTGGACCTTAAATGATGGCACCAGAGGAGTAATTATGAATTTTTCTGTATCTCTTTTCATTTTTGGTTAAATGATCGAATCTTTTCCGTTTGTTCGTATTACAGTTTTGGGATCGTCTGGTTGCGGGAAAACGTCCCTGATCCATTCATTCGTTAACAATCTCTGCCCTCATTATCACATACCAACAACATTCCCAACGTAAGTGCTTCATCATCATTATTCTTTCAAAATCTTATCCTAGATTGTTCTATCGCACTGTGCGTCTTCCTCCTGAATCGGACCAAAAAGGCCAACCGACTTCTGTGTGCGTTGAAATTGAAGATACTGTTGCTCCAGAAGTTGCAGAAGAAGAAGAAGTGATGTATGGTGAAGATGGACTCCCAACCAAAGAAATGAAAAAGGTGACAAAATTGAGAAATATCAATTTTTTCTTCGACATGTCCAGAAAAACGGGTGCGTTACAACGTTTTTGTGTCATGTCTGTATCACCGTTTGATTTTGTAATTAGTTGTCGTTCCTGAGGGTTGTACGGATTTTACTCCATTTTCAATATGGAAGGCTCCCAAGACACCAGTGACGATGACGAGACCTGTATACATTCCACTGACCCAAGGTGAATTATTTCCATTCATGCAAATAAAACGAATTGATTTTCAGGTAGAATGGCGTTCATCATTTTGTTTGACTCGAATGAACAAGACTCGCTGGATAAAGCTTGTCAAATCCATAGAATGCTGATGGATGATTTAGAACTCCATAAAGTCCGAATTCGCCCGTACATTTATTTTGTAGCAAACAAAATTGAAAAAGATCCCGAAGGAGATGAACATAAAGTTGTGATCGCTGTTGCTGAAAAATACACGTGAGCCCTCTTCCATTGTTGCCCGACATTGTTGGCCTCAGACAAGCAAATTTCATACGGCTGATGAAGGTGTCGTCTATGAATGCCAAAAACGTTAAAAAAGTGAGCGGAACGGACGATGAATTTGTGTTGAATTTTGATCATTTTGGAACTAGCAATGCAAACACGTCACTTTCCTTCAGGTGTTTTGGGATCTTCTTTATTTAATTATCGGAAACCAAATTATTTGGGAAATTGAATACGAACATCCTGAAGAAGCAGAATCGGAGGAAGAACAGAAGGAGACAGGCTGCACTCAGAGCTAGCGGTTTTTTTTAATTTGTTTTCACTTGACAGGACAAAGAAGGATTGAACCTGATAGAAAAGATATAGTTGTGATTGGGACAATAATTTTTGTTGGTTACCGTTTGGGACATCCCAGGTTATGCCAAGATACCTCTAATGTCCCAATCTGTCGTACGTCTGGATTTGGTTGATTCCCGCGAAGGCGTTTTGTCTTCAGGCTTTGTCTCCCCTGAGCGATCAACACCATCGGTCCCCAGCAACATCATCTGCGCTCTTTTCAAGTCCTTCATTCAATAAAAGCAAGTACATTTCGTTTCATTCAGCGCTTTGTCTCCCCGCTTTCAGGCCCAAGTCCGCAATCCTCTCCATGGCAGATTCCTCCAGCTGACCCCCTCGGCCATTTGAACCTATCTCGATTAAGATTGGTACCATTTGAGGTTCCGTTTTACTGTCGATTATGGGAGTATGTCGAGTATCGTCACTGGCATGTATTGGATCCCATACGTCATGTATAGGATCCCACCAGTACCCTCATATCTCGCATCTGACGTCTTCTGCAGTATCTAACGTGTCATGTTGTCATCTTCTCCAACAGGTGTGCAAATCCTCAAGCAAACGAGAAACTTCATGGCAAGCCTGCCGCGTCTTTCCTGAAGAAGTCAGGCTTGCCAAAAGCAACACTTCATGAGGTCCGTTTTTGAGTCTTTTGAGTCTTTTAAGTTTCCGTATTGATTCAGATTTGGAGAATTGCAGATTCTGGTCGATCGGGGTTTCTGAATTTTGAAGAATTTTGTATCGTTTGTCGCTTGATCGCACACACTCAAAACGGCGCGACAGTTTCAGCAGATTCCATTCAATCTGGTAATTGAAATGTGTGTCCCAATTGATGTAAAACGTGTGTCACAATTGAACGTGTGTCCCAAACTTCTATAATGTACTTTTTTCAGTTCCCCCATCGATTCCATATTTCGACATTCCCGATCGTCTTATCTTCTCTCAGTCATCCTCTGAATCTTCATCTGTAAGTGAATTCTATATAAACGATGATAGTGCTCACTCGACCAATCTTATCTTGTTGTCTTTCTTCAGGCGGCAGATGATTTCGAGCCATTGGGATCCCAAATGGATCCAAACTCTGCGACCATCCAACTTCTTCGTTTCTCTCATGAGCCCAAAAGTTTACCAGAAACTCAATCTGTAAGAGCACTGCTTGTCCCAATTTCATGACAAGAAATTTGTTTTCCATCGTAATATCCCTTCTTCCCTTTTTCTATGAAGGAACCACCTTCAGATCACAATTTTCGGCTGTCCCAATACTCACTGTCCCGAGATGATTCTGATCGCTATCTTAAACTGTTCCGGACGCTTCCATTGGATGCGAGTGGTTCGCTTGGAAGCTCTGAAGCGAAACGTTTCTTCGATCGATCAATCAGGATTGAATTCGTCTGAGTTGTTCGACATCTGGTATGAAATAACATGATCATCAATCATAATATAATAAATTGGTTTTTCTAATACCAAATTTTTTGGTCCTTATTGCCATCTCCTTTCCAATTCATCTCGATGTATTCCCATTTGTTGCAGGATGCTTTCAGATCTGGATGCTGATGGTTCATTGAGTTCAACCGAATTCATCATTGCAATGCA